TAAGAGGTTCGAAGAATGCAAGAGTTTTACGTTAACAAATGGTAAATACAGTGTTTCTCTTCACCTAAAAACAAAGGATTTATGGAACTAGTTAAAATCACGAATAAGATGAAATGTATGAACAATATTGACGTTAATCAGGTTTTAACTGGACGTGGTAGGTTTCGTTCTATTTCAACCGATTTAACCTGCATGAAAATAAACTATGCAATAATTGTCAGGTTGATGGTGATGCTACGCATTTTGCGGTTGATTGTAGTTTAACAGCCCCTATTAGACATATTTTTAACATTACTGGTTTTAATGTAAATACCATTAATTTGAAAGTTTTTAAATCATATACCATTGCTCTAATGAAGTTTATTAATGAAAATAGGCGTTTGTAGGAATCCTCTGTTAAAATTGAATTCTTATTTATATGGGTTTTAGATATCTGTGGTGTTCTATGTTGTGATTTTGTGTTTGTGGGTTTTTTTGTTTGTTTGCTTGTAATTTTGTGTTAGATGTGCTTACTTATTTTGAATTTAGTATCTTTGTTATTTGGGGTGGCTGGATTGCTGGCTGCTCTCGTTTGTGAAAAGACGGGGCCCCTTCTTTTGAGCTATGGGGACACTCGTGTGCAAGTGGGCTGAAGGGAGCCTCCAATTCGTACAACATTAGTAGCTTTAAAGCCAGGATATAAATCTCTTTTAAGAATATATTATATATAATTATTCTGAAACCTTTTAGTAGAACAAACAGTTAAAAGTAAAGTACATCCGAATACGACTCTAAGGATAAGATCAGAGAGAGAACAGTAGAGGGACTCCAGGCGTCACGTACAAGGTCAGATGACCCTGTCCCTCTGCCAACTAAACATGTAGTTTTATTACAAAGGTACTCCTTAAATACCTTGGTCTTCGGTCTTTGTAAGCGCGGGTCAGAATCCCGTGAATTAGTTGGCCGCATGGATGTTTCCGTCGTTTCGATGATGCGTAACTTGCATATGAGCCAATTAGTCTTAGAAAGTCCTCAACGAAGACATCTCTTCTCTTAGGCAGGTAGCTAGCTCTCTTATGCTTTGCCATAAGTAAAGAAACTAAACCATTAGTTATGTATTTTTCTTTTAATAACAAAAATGGCATATAAAGAATCTTACTATAAAATGTATTTTACATTTTATCTCAAACCCTACCTATTTCCATGTTTATTTGAAAAATTAAAATTTGTTGCAGAAACTTAAAGGAAGATGGGTGAGGTCGGCAGTTTTAAGTTTTTGTCCCGCCTAGGAAAAATGCTAAATCCGGCGCTGAGGAAATGTTTAGATGTTTCTACGTAAGATAGAATAACTGGGAAGAGGAAACAAGAGCATAGTTCGTAGAATGTAACCGACGATTTCGATATTGTAACGGGCGTGACTGGCTGTCAGAACAATGTGTACAATTTTTGGAAGGTCTGGTGGTGGTCGCTCACGAATAGCAACACCTAATGATAACACCAACACCAACCAATGTATACCATTACAAACCATTTGCCTCAAAGATCAATGGATTCCATGTATCACAGGTGTTATTCTATGCAGATGTCTCTTGTATAAGTGGATTTTTACCTTCCGCCTAGTGCTCTGCTTCTTTTTAACACTATCTACATCATCGCTTACAGTAGTGTGAAGAATACAAGGATTGGGTAAAGTACGTGTTACTTATGAGATTATATTCGAGTGATACTAAACATCAGTTTACCTCGCCAATGACTGACGATATTTGATATAAACACATAGGCCTTATTGAAAGAGATCAATATTTTAGTCAAGTTGCTGTGGTCTGGGGTACAGTATTATGTTATACAAACGTAACGAGCGGCAGAACATGCAAGCCATTACTAGGCAATCATAACATGAGATAATCATTTCTCTTGCTTGGGAGGGGCTATAAGGTAGAAATTTATCTTCATCAGCGAAAACACTTCAGTAAATCGCTCTGCAGTTACTGATTATATCGTGAGGAAGTGTAAACATTGCTCTAATGGACTGGCCTACTCATTCTATGCTACAAATATCTTCACATTCTAAGAAAACTCTGAGGACGAAGGTTGTCATCCGTGAGGACGAAGTTCGAAGTATGACCTCTCCAGAAAGCCTGAAATTTGAATGTAGGATATCGTTCCTCTAATATCCAATACTCACATTTCTTATCTGTAGCACATAAAGGAAACATTCTAATGCAATTAATTTTGTAAGGATTTTGAATGATCGGTTGATAGCCACATAGTGTTTCGTCTAAATCAATTAATTTTTCAGATTAAACTAAACAAATCCAGGACATGTACAACGACGGCCTTCAGACAGCAACACCCCTTACAATTCCTCGCAATCTTGTTTTTTTCTTCATAAAAATGAGGAAAACGGAGGTTAAGGTTTAAAGGTCTTAAAAGAGCACTGGGTCTGCGACCTCAGGGATCCTTATTCGGGCCATGTTTGCGTCTAATGTTTTTGTCTAATGTGTACTGCTGAGTGAAAAAAGTGGCGGGAAAACGTAATTGTTTTAATTCACTTGAAAGTATGATCGACGAGATTTGAGTCAAATTTATGGAAGAAATGGACTACTAAGCTGACAATATCTACTATTCGTAAACGAGAGCAGGGTTTGTTTCATACGTAAAATTTCAAGTAACTAATGGCATAAGTTAACAGTGAAAGCTAACACTGTAAGATGATAATGATAACTTAAAAATCCTTCAAGAATATATTCTTCTTAAGTAGGTTAGGTTAGGTTAGATTAATTAATTACGGCAAAGCCTCGAGTGTTATCTGCCTAAGGGGAGGGATGCCTTCGTGGAGGACTTTCTAGGGGAAACTGGCTCGTATGCACGTTACACATGGGGAAAATCACGAAAACACCCATGCAGCCAGCCCGTTCGCAGGATTCGAACCTCGGACTGAACTACCAGTGTTCAGCGGCTTTACAGCTCGGCCGCTGGTGGGCCCTTCTTAAGTAGATGAAACTGGTTTCGCGTGATAGCTGGAAAAGTAATACAATAACAACTACATTTTCATTTTTTTTTTCTGAGCTTGTAAACCACAAATAGTTTTTGTAAGCAAATAGAAAATTTTGAAATTGTGAAATATTTCATGTAACGGTAAAATAATATATATGTATATATTACATATACGATGGTGGCCAAAATCGTGAACACTTTTGGAAATTTTTATGTTTTTAAACTTTGTATGCTTATAGAAAATGTTACGTTTCGCAAAATGCAAACTTGTATATATCATTTTAAAGAGAATTTATTACTGAATTCAATACAAAACACAAAATTCAATTATTTGCAATACTAAAGAAGTTATATGTACTTTAATATAAATAAAAAACACAGTTATGAAATGGTTTGTAATGTCTAGCTTTCCTGGCCAATCACTGTCCCTGTGTTCTGAGAACCAGTCAAATGTTAGTAACTGCCAGTAGAAGCTGACATCATGTTTACACTTGAAACAATTCATTATTTTGCTTTGTTCTGTAGAACGAGGACCTGTATCTTATACACTGCAATTACAAGTAGAAAATTTGTAAAAATTTTTAATATTTAGTCAAGAAGCAATGACATCAAATAAAAGAGTAGATTGGACACCTAGAAAGAGAGGTAATATTATTGTGTTACGAGAAAGTGGTCTTCCCTATGCTGAAATTGCAAAACAGATGCGTGGTTCAGTGACTACATCAGGAGTCCGAAAGTTTTGTTTACGATATCAGGAGACAAATTCAATAAAAAACAAAGAAGGAAAAAGCCGAAAAAAGTGCACATCTATTGATGACAGAAGAATAAAAAGACTATGTCTCCAAGATAGAAAAATGTCATCAGCGGCCATCAGAAGTGATCTGAATAATGCTGGTGTTTCTGTCAGTTCAAGAACAATCAGGAGAAGATTAACAGATGTTGGACTGAGAGGTAGATTTCCACGAAAAAAGCCTTATCTTAATTTTCAGCAACGAGAAAAAAAAAAAAAAAAAAAAAAAAAAAAAAAAAAAGACTACAGTGGGCAAAGGAACACATTAATTGGACAGATGATCAGAGGTCACAAGTTATATGGAGTGATGAAACTAAGATATCGTTATTCGGTAGTGATGGACGAAAATATGTAAGACGTAGAATAGGAAAAGAGCTACATCCTGACTGCATTCAAGCAACTGTGAAGAACCCAGTTAGTGTTATGATTTGGTCATACATGTCAGCAGATGGTATTGATCGCCTTCATGTCATCGATGGGGCACTGAATGCCAGAAAATACATTGACACTATTCTAGAACCAAAACTTCTACCTTCCATCAGAGATCTCTTTCCCCAAAATGCTTCGTTTATTTTTCAGCAGGATTCTGCTCCTTGCCACATGGCCAAAATATCGAAAGAGTTAGTTTCGTACAAAGAGCATTAAATTGTTGTCATGGCCAGGAAACAGTCCTGACCTCAATCCTATCGAAAATTTGTGGCACCGTTTGAAAACTCTTGTCCGAATGAGGCGCCCATCTAATAAAAGGGAACTAATTGAGGCTATAATTGTTTCCTGGCATCATGTAATAACGAAAGAAGAGGTTAAAACTCTTGTCAACTCAATGAAACGTCGATGTGAAGCTGTAATCAAAAATAAAGGGTACCCTACTAAGTACTGATAACTTATTGGAATCATCACTATCTAATGTATATCGATAACTATTATCGTTTAACTTTTTTTTGTATTACAAATAATTTAATTTTGTGTTTTGTATTGAATTCAGTAATAAATTCTCTTTAAAATGATATATACAAGTTTGCATTTTGTGAAATGTAACGTTTTCTATAAGCATACAAAGTTCAAAAACATAAAAATTTCCAAAAGTGTCCACAATTTTGGCCATCACTGTATATTATTTTTACTTAAAAAAAAATTATTTTTAAAGGGTAGTAAAGTTTTGCTATGTACATTTTGCATTTTGGCTTCAAAAGGAGTTCATCAGGAAAAAAAAAAAAAAAAAAAAAAAACAAAAAAAAAAAAAAAAAAAAACAGTGTGTTTATCTGAGGTGTTTGGTTTAATCATGGCTGCTATATTGCAGACGAGTGTAGCTGACAATTAAAGAGAATGTTAGCATAAAGTGGTTACGGGGTTTATTTACAACATAGTTGTTAGGGTGGGGTAGTTTGACTGAAAGGTAATAATAATTCTTGAATTCATTCCGATGTGCAAAAAATATTAAATTAAGACCACAATAAATGAATATAAAAAATCGAGCCATATAGAATCTGTGTCACGTCTTGATTCGGGGTATCTTATTTTATGTCGTGTTTTTTCTATTGCTGTTTATGTTTAGAGGCATATTTTAAGTAAATTCAGTGCTAAAATTCTGTAACATCTTACTATTAGATACAATCAGAATTGTTATAATCATATGCTATAATTCTAGATTGATTGGACTTCAGATGTGTCAGTTAATTTATCAGAAGTGGTGTATCTGAGTGTGTTTTCCCAGGGTCTTTATTAAAAAGTTCTTTGCAAAGTTTAACATTAGTAAATGTAGAATTTTGTAGAAAATGTAAAACAAACCTTTATTTGTAGTATTTCGTTCTCTATTGGTGGGTGAAAATGAGGACGCTGATACTGTGTTTTTATATCAATGCAGAGTTGTCATCTGTTTGTTTACATTAGTATGATGGGATATATTAATATTCACATTTTGTTAGCTTAATGATACATAATAATCCTAGGAGGTGCTAGATATGGCCTAACTTTGAAAGTATGAAATATATTCCTTGATTTGTTTACCTTTTGAAATTTAGATGTGTTCAGATTTATACATAGGGTTTTCCTCTGTATTAATTTTTTGTGAGTATTACTCTTAGTTTAAGGAACCCAGTGTACTTTTAACTGCACCTTTGGAATATTTTCAAAACCTTTTAATGCTGATCAACAATTTCATAGAATTTTCAATGGAGTTTCAGATAGGTTTTGAAATTATGTTAAAGCTCAGTTTAAGTAAAGTTTTAATTTAGTTTCAGTGATTAAATTGAGCTTCATATTTTGAGAATATGTATAATGATTACTTAAGTTATTGTGATGATTGTGTATGCCTTCCTTGCATCTTTATAAATCAATTTTTAAGAATTCACCTTTTTGGTATGTATTCAGAATTATTTCAGACTTATAAAATTTTTAGCTTGTTTGAAATAATTCAGAAATTTTCATTCAAAACTTTATTTTCATGCGAATATATTGTTGTGTGTTTGAACATGATGAGTAATGTTTAGGGATTTTGAAATACATTAAGTTTAGTGTACAGTTTTTCTGTGATGTTTATTCCCTTTCAGGAGGGCTTGAAAAAGCTTCCTTTGGTATGTTTTATTATTAAGATCTGAGAAAATATTTACAATAACATTTAAAAATTGTAAAACCATGATATGCCTGTTACTTCATTTCCTTTTTAATGTAATTGTATGTTCATTGGGTTAAGAAAATAGTTGAGGTTATTGACTTGATACATGAAATGAACTAGAAATTTGATCTCACCCAGGAATTAAAAATAGAAAAACCATCATTTCTGTTTTTGAAGTAAAAAGTAAATTTCTAAACAAATTTTGTAAATCTAAATACCAAAAGATAATATGTTTTCATAGGATTTAATAAATGTGTTAAAGATTTTTTTAAATTAAAAGAGTACACAGTTATTTCATAAATTGTTACTTTTATTGCAGATGTTGTGTGAAATCTGTGACTGTATATTATCTTTATGCCCATAAATTGTCACAAAATTTTTAAAAATAGTGCTGCAACTGAACTATTAAAAAATTAATACGGAGCTCGGGCTGTAGATAAAAATGATTCCCCAAACAACATATGAGAAATGAAATTTATAATTTTGAAGAAAAATTTTAATTTTCATGTATTTACATTATTTTTTATGTCTTTTCAGTTTTCTATACGAGTTATTTCAATTGCCATGTCTTAGACAATAATCAGAGAAAACGGTTGCTTAGATCTGTTAATATGCTCCTTTCTAGAAACAATTTATTCTACTAATTAATAAGAGCAGTTACTCTTGAAAACACTTTGCCCACTTGCTGCTCAAAATGCATTCATTTTCACTGTAATAATATCAAATAAATACTGAATTGTTGCAGTTATTGAAGTTAATGATTGCTGATGTTTAAATAGATTACGTTGCTTTTTTCTATAAAAAACATATCAGTTTCCTTCAGAAAATCAGAATTTTCAATTTATAAGCATAATCACAAGATCTGTTTTATAAAATTTTACGTGTGTGCTTGAATGAAAAATTCACTTGTTCAAAAATTTTAATTATTGTATTTAATTTTTATTTAAAAAATTTTCTAACATTACAGTAATATTTTTCAGGAATAAAGAAGTCTGATAAAGTTCTGAATTAAATTTTTGTACAGTATTGGCATTGTTTACTATCACAGGTATATTCTAGTTCTGTCATTTTTATTAGAATTTTTAAATAAACTTTTAAAAATTAAATATAGATGTTAAAATATGAGTTATATTTTAGTAAGTTTATATGAATAGTCTTGAGAATATTTTTAAAATTTGTTCTGATGTGGAGTAAGTTTGATAAGACTAGTTATTAAGGATTTATGCACCTTCAGTAATTTTTTTTAAGTGAATAGTGTAGCTGCAACAGGCAGTAGGAAATTTAACATTGCAAAATGCTGTAGCTGTAAAAATTATCTAGAGAAACAAAGTAAAAAAAAAAAAAAAAAAAATTTGCATATCTTTTTAAACATTATTCTTAATATTTTTTAGCATTATTTTGATATTTCCATATTCATTTGTTAGAAGATTTTGATTGTATTATGTATGAAAAGAAAAACACGATTGCAAATAAAATATTATAAATGTTATCCATATTTACAGGATATTTATTTATTATCATAATGATCAGTAGTGTTTGTGGTTTGATTATTTAGGATCTGGATCTTATTTTCTGTCTTTGAATAATTTGATATGTTAAGTTTAACAACATACAAAATTTTAATTTACTTATTTTGAAACATATTTGAAAATTAATGAGTAAATATGATTCAGATTAGTTAGGCTAATGCAATGCATTTCTCAAGAGGAGATATTACTATATGTTGGAAAAGTTATTTCACTGCCAGTTATGAGGCTAAAATATATGTGTAGTATTGCCATCATGAAAGTGAACTAATTCTAAAAGTTTGAGAGTTCAATTATCTTTTAAGAATTGTTCATTTGCAGTTGGGATATTTCTAATAATTTTTCTAAATGACCTGTTTTGTTCAATTACTTTACATACATTATATAATTTTCATTATTTTAGAAGATATTTATAATAATTATTTTTATTCTTATTTATTTATTTGTTCTGTTTTAGCCAGATAATTGAAAGACAACTGGAACTTGGCCATTGTCTAAGGCAGAAATTTTAACGCATGTACCTGCTTCATATGAAAGGCAAAAAGTGGAAGTATTAACTGTTCATTTTTTAAGGTAAGAAACTTAAATGAATATAATTATTAAAAGTTTATATAAGACAAATCATATTTCAGTTTTGAAAATTCTAATCTTTATCTACTTACATTAGAGCCTGAAAATAGATGATGTCAATCTTGTAGGTGAGATATTATGAGTGCTCCTCCTTAATAGAAAATATATAATTGTATTATTAAATCTTGATTGCTAAAACAAGAAATTGTGGTGCATATGTATTATGTCATCAACTATGAAAGTTGGAGGAGATCCTACCAAAACTGCACCAATCATTCATGTGGAATTCTTCTATCTATAATTCTTAGAATGAAACATTTGTAACTCTCACAGTACTATCCAATAATCAGGAACTGCTGTGGAAGTATTCAACCCACTTAGACTTTTCTCGATTTTTGCTGTCTTGTTAGTCCCACCTATTTATTCTAAATGAACCACAGAAGGTTCATTTAGAATGTTACAAGCAAGAACTTCCCATAGGTGATTTTCCAATATCTTATTGTTTTGTCAACCATATCCAGCTGTTCTTTTTTATTCAAGATTCTTTTGAGAAGCTGTGTAAATATACTAGAGTGTTGTCGCAAATATGATTCTACATTCTTGGACTTTTATGTTCTTCAAAATGCAAGAAATAAATACAGCAATAACAGTTAATTTATATCTTTGTTCATAAAAACAAAAGGTGTCTAACCAAGAATTGATTGGTGTTATATCAAAGGAAAGCACAAATGTTATGAGTACGTAATGATGCCACACTTACCCATAATTTGCACCAAATCATACTGCTTGGCAGTAGTTTCATGGTCAGTGGGATAATATGTATGTTCTGAAATTTTTTACTCATGTTTTTGTAATGAGTAAAGAAGAGCAATCCTAAATTTCAATAGCTGAAATAAAATTTTCATGTACCTTAAATATGAAAAGAGCCTGTTCATATGTAAAATTTAGATATGTTTAAAGTTAAGTTTTTATTCCTTAAATTAATTTGTAAACCACTTATAAAGCAGTATGATTTACTTGAGTTATATGTAAATCTGCTTTTGCATGTGTACATGCCTACAAAAATATATAGTTTAAATAAGAATTTTCAGTATAATATATGGATTTTCACTATTTTCAAAACTGACTTAAAGACCACTGAATAGTACCTGTCATTTTAAAATGTATATGTATGAGCTGAATTTAAAGTACTGTGCTGTATTTTGTACATTTTTACTCCCTTTTGTACAAATAATACAGATTTCTTTGGCAAATTAATTACATATGACACTCATATTTATTTATTACCTCTGAAGCTAGTTTGCCTTCTGTCATATTTTATATTTTCTCCTTCATTTCAATTTTCAGTAGATTTGCTGTTGTATTCATTGTCAATAAAACTGGACTTCTTCAAACACCAGTCATAGTCTACCTTATGTCAATATTCTAGAAGCCTAAAATATCTCGTTTTACTTTCTTAAATGTGCTTATGAAATTTTCTGTTTAGTCTCCACAAATCCAACAGTGGCCAAACAGTTAAGTCACTGAACACTGATAGTTTGATTTGGGTTTGTATCCTAGAGAAAAAGTGGCTTGTGTTCAAGTTTACATAATTTTCCCCACATATAAAGTGAATAAAAGCCATTTTCCTGTAAAAAGGTCTTCCATGAAGTCATTCCATCCTAGGCTGATAACCTGTGAGTGCTTAGCAGTCATCGTAGTAATCCTAAATCCTTCATTTGCACTATCAGATTTTTTAGAAAATTTGTAAGAAATTTTGTTGTAATCTAATTTTTCAAAATTAATTGCAATTTTCCATTTTAATTATAAAAATTCCTTGTGGTTTATCTTAATTGTATCAAGGTTCTCCCTTCCTGAGCAGTGGTAATTTATAAGAATTCTGTAAACAGTATTTTGATGTTTGAATCAACAGAGTACTTTCCTTCTACTTATCAAATAAATGAATTAAATAAAACCCTTTCAAAAATCAATACAGTGGGTACCACTTATTGAAATCACTGCTTTATTAAAACCAAATCCAAAGCAACAAATTCAAATGAATACTATATCATTATAAAATAACAGCTTAATTGCATCAATGCTACTGCTTATAAAAATCAAATCGGTTTTAAAACTGTAAAGTGAAAACTTCAAGTTTTTGTTTCAAGTTTAGTGATTTTGTTCAAGGTTGCTTCACTTTTACATGTAAGAGCTGCAAATGCGAGAATTTTCTTATCTGGATTAATCATAGGTGGGGGTGGGTCACAGGCAGTTTGTCAGAACTGGTTCAAATCAGTTGGGGGGAAAGGGGAAACATAAAAGAAGATGCGAGAGAGAATCTGTATAAAAAAATTGTCCTTTTTTGCTCACACAGTTTGTTCAGGTCTCCCATCCACATTAGGTATATGCACATTTCATTCATAAAAATTTATTGAAATCTGATATAAAATAAGTCTATTTAAAAAATTTTTATTTTTATATCCCCCTTGAATATCCAACCTTGCATGCCTAACAGAAACGAAATCCTGCATGCAGCCCAGGATTGCATATAAAACTTAACCCGTGAGCACACACGCTAAAATTACGAACACGAGAAGGCGCGCTGGGTATGTCATACCCAAAAGCAATTAACACGTTTTAAATTACATTAATAATATAAATATGAGTGTAAATGTGGATTAACATAAAAAAATTAACTTTAGAATATTTTAAAGAATATAATAAATGAAGTACTTAACATACAATTATTTTTCACATCTCTGGCTGACTAAACACATATGCTCTATACAAATACTGGTATTACATTTCTCGCACAGAAAGCGTGTCTTTCTGTCCCTCTTTTTAGGGCACTCAGCGCATCTTCTGTAAACGTTTTTCATCTTTTTAGATGGTGGTTTCATGTTGCAATCTCCTGAAATTATTTTTTCTTTTAGTTTCAAAGGGAGCATGATTTGCTGCCGCTGTTGATTTGAGTAATCTTCCACTTTCGAATAACCAGTATTTCCTAGAATTTTAAAGATAATGCTTTCAGAACTAGTTCTAACATTCATTCAGAATTTGTTTTTCTTCCATACCAAGCCATTTTTACCAACATAATTTTCATCATTTTATTGATTTTCTAATTCACTATCTAATTCAGTGTTTGTATCACTGTCTGTTGCTGAATTATAATTGCTGTTGTGTTCTTCATCTATTAATTATTCCTCCTCTTCTCTAAATGTTTCATCATCTGTTGAAATGGTTTCTAGAATATTTCTCAACCTTTTCCATTTCTTTATAACTTAGGTTCCGTTCCATGCTGACTAAAGAAACTGAGGGTGAAAATCTGAGAGACGCGAGAAAGCGCGTGGGTGTCACATACCCAAACAGAACAATTCCTAGAAAAGTATTCGAAGAATCACTCCACGGATTTCCCAGCTTCATTATTGTGACCTTGAATTCAGCTACAAAAGGTTTTGTACATTTCCAGGAAAGGGGTTTTGAGATAACGGACAAAAAATATGCCCCTGGATATGAGATACCCGGCGCGCTCGCTCGTGGGTTAACTTTTTTATAAAACCAAATAAGATCAGAATGGACATGATCATATTAAGCGGTACCCACTGTGTTGTGGTGCTGTGTTCTATTTTAATTCATTGTACTGGAAGCAGGATATAATGTTTAAGAATTTATGTATAAAAAAAAGGCTTCAGATTTTGTCATGAAATACTTTTAATTACGTGAATTCCATTCATGTTGAATATAAAGCAATTTAAAACATTGTTGAAACTCTACTGCATGTAGTGAGAAAAGTTGTCTTTATATTGTGTTAACAAGAAATTAATTTTGGTTTGCACAGCACTATGTTTGTTTTGTATTTCATCTGTAAATTTTGTATTTTTTTTTCCTTTTAAGATTTGGCAGCTGACACTTTTACATTGCTGTAGAAACAAATTCTGTTTAGTTTTTTCCCTTTCTTTTTTTGCAACTGTTAATTAGCTGACGGTTTTAACATGGTGTGCAAAAATAAACATTTTCAACATGCTTTACTTTTTATTTTCATAAATACAAAAAAGTAGCTGAAGCTCATAAGGAGATATGTGAAGTTTGTGGTATTGATTACTTAACATAATGCACACATCAGAATTGATTTAAACATTTTTATTCTGAAGATTTTTCCACTTAAAGATGATCAACATTTTGGCCAACTTTCTGAAGTTCATGATGACAAAAGTAAGGCATAATTGAATCGGATCATCATATAACATAATCTTAGTATCATCAGTTTTTACCATCACTGTGGCTTGGTGTGTTTTTTCAGTTTTTTAAAAACTGTCTGTGTACATTTTTGATCAATTTTAAATGTTACCTAATTGTTATATGTAAGGAGCAAAATGAATTGTAGTAGAATGTGCACTGGAGACCAAGTAGTAAAACTGCTGAATGTTGGAAATGCTACCAGCAAAAATGCAATGATGGGGGGTTGATGATGTAATGTACCCTGCATTACTAGCATTCAAATCCTGGTGAATGCACTAGCTGCATGGGAGTTTTTATGGTTTTCTCCATGTGGAATATATATATAGAAACCAGTTAAGCTGTGGTCACGCGTTTGTGTGTAAAACGTTGACCAGTCAGGAGTGAGTTCAGAGGTGACATTTGCCGGATGGCCGGGACCACGTGATTCGACTTAACTTCAACTTTTTAACGCTTGACGCGTCAGTTTCAGGCATCTTGTTTCAAAAGTCCAGTTTATACCATGGTTTTTAAATGATTGCACTTTTAAAAAATTCTTCTTGATGAAAAAAAAAAAAAAAAAAGGTCAAATGGACTAATCCTAATAAAAATTTCAGATAATAATAATAATAAAAAAATGCATATGCTAATAGAATAAATAGCTTTATAAATTATTTAAAGGAAAATTCTCAAGTTTATTAGCAATACTAAACCTTAATAATCAACCATAAATGGTATATGGTTGATAATTTTTACAGAATAATCTAAAGCAATAGATTGTTGCGAGAAAATAGTGATGGATTTCAAAA